CTGGCGCTCGGCACACCTGGCTCATCCCAAAGCGCCACACGGGAAGGTCCTGGAGCCGCATGGGGACCTAGGGCGAATCCAAGGAAAAGCRAACACCAGGGCTCCGGTTATGGAGGAGCCGAAGCAGCCGCTGCAGCCAGGAAAACCCAGGGAAAAGCGACCCGGGGACTCGCCCAGGGGCTTCTCCRCCAGCCGGGCCGCGGCTCCGGCCCCAGCGCTCCCCATTCCCGCCCGGCTCCGGCGGCGCCGCTCAGCGACTCGTTCCTAATACCCCCGCTCTGCCAATGCTGCACACCAAGGACCTAATTTTAGAAATGGTGTTTATAAGTAATCACTTTGAAATATTGGAGCAGCCGCATGATGGTTTTCTCTTTCTTTCTTTTTTTTTTTTTTCCTCCCCCTCTGAAATACTGACGTTTGCAAGAAAGCTGCTCGTAAGGAAAATTCTGATTATAACAACTCATTTAGAATAAATCAGTTTGAAATGGTTTATATAACACAGCGGTATGTGTTGTACATGAAGATCCAAGTTTCTGAGCCTGTTTTTCTTTTTTTTTTCCCTCTCCTTTCAGTGAGACGAGATTAAATGAAGCCCCAAAYGCTCACAGTTTGGGCACTTCTATTTTTTTCTCCTCCTTTTGATAAGTGGGGGAAAAGCAGCTTCTCAGCAATTTTATGGCCAATTGGGTTGGGGAAAAAAAAAAAAAGGCAAAAATGAGCATGAGCAGCATTGAGCCCTGCTGCCATCCCGCTCATCCCGGCTCCGCACCGGGATCCGGCGCGTCCGGAGCAACGGGATGYGGCCAGGGGGGCTCATCCTAAAGCTCCCTCCACCGGCACCGGGGACGTTTCCAGCCCTGGCTCTCCCAAGCCAAGCAGAGGCCCCACAAACTCATCTCACATGTGGGCATCTGATTGTGGCTGCCCTTTGATTCCCGGCTCGTGTCACAGCGGGGGCTGGAGGGCAAAGGCGCCGCCTGTCCCGTCCTGTCCCATCCCATCCCATCCCGTCCCGTCCCATCCCGTCCCGTCCCGTCCCGTCCCCCTGGCACTGGGGTCTCTCCCTGGGCTCGGGGCTGTTTGCAGCCCTGCCAGGTTCACTCATGTGCCCATACTGGGGAAAAAAACCCTTATTTTTTTGGGGAAAAGCCCTTAATTTTGTCCTTGGGGGAGCACACTTAGCTTTGTGTGAGGAGTGTGAGGAGCGCTGGGGCCAACGGAGGGTCTGGGAGCGGCGCCGGGGGTCCCGAATCAACTAGAAAAAATAATACCTAGAAAAAAGGAAAATAAAGGCAAAAGAGCAGGGCCCGGGTGCCGGCAGCACCCACCTCCCGCAGCCCCGCGCCGGCCTCCGCACCCAAGGGAAACAGAGCCACCCAGAGCTTTTAATTGTAATTTACTTTATTATTTTGTAAATGTGAATTTTACAAAGCGTTTTACAATTAATGATCACATTGGGTTTTGTTTTTTTTTCGTTTTTAATGGATTTTTCATCATATGAAAACAGCTATGAGCACAGTTCCAACTGGAGGGGGGAAAAGTCCTTAATTTTTTTTTTTTCCTTTTTTTTTAGTTACCGATATATTGTGTCAGCCATGGCTACAAAATAACAGTCTTAACTATATAGAGTAAGAGCACATAAATACTAGTGAATAATGCACGATAAAAAAAAAGCTAGCATCGTTCGTGGCTGAGACAGTTGAGAAACAGAATTGAGTGGTACTGTGAGATTCTCCTTACAGCACAGAAAGTATTTTTAACAGTCATGAATTACAGTACTACTTAATACCCTATGAAGACGCTTTTAAAAACAACCTTGTACTTTAAGTCCTTTTTTCCCAAACATTCTGTCCAAAGGATTAATGTTCTATTTGAATCAAGTGCCATCCAAATGTTCAAGTCAAAAATATTTATACATTTATACTTAGTTGTTTTCTTATTTATTTATTTATTTTTTTTTGTCTGCTAAAAATAGTATTGCAAGTTTTGGCTTTTTTTTTTTTTATTTTTTGACATAAAAATCACAATTCTGTGTGTGCAAAATGCTTAAGAGTGGAAGAAACTGGGAAGGGGTTTCCAATTTGAGTGCTTTAGACTTCGGCGGAGCCGGWGGGCTCCGGGCGGGCGGTTCTGTCTCCGGCTCTCGCCTGGCACCGCCACCACGCTGACCTAGTTATACAGCAGAAACAACTCTGAAACAGTAGTTTAAGCCCAAGACAGCTCTAAACTCTCAATTTCGCATTTCGGATTTGCCGCCGGGAACATTCCCCGCTCGTAGCCAGCAATTTCCGTGAAAATAAGCAACCCGAACCAAACATTTGCAGGAAAAACGGCCGAGGAAAACGCCCCGATGGGAAGCCCGGCCCAGCTCCAGCTTTGCCGTGGCTGATAAAGCAGCACCAGCCACCGTGGCGCCCCGGGCGCTTCACCAGCACCACGAGGCCAGTTTGCAAAAAGGGTGGAATTTTGCAAAAAGGGTGGAATTTTGCAAAAAGGGATGCAACTTTGCAAAAAGGTTGCAACTTTGCAAAGAGGATGCAACTTTGCAAAAGGGATGCCACTTTGCAAAAGCAGCTCGGAGGACCCATTTGTGCCACTTGGAGTCACCACGGTCTGCCGGGGAGGCRCCAGCCCCGGGCGTTCGCTGCGGTTTTGGGGCAGAACTGCTAGTTTTGGCGCGTTATGCGTGGAGGGAGGCAGCAGCCCCCTGCCAAGCAGCATCGCAGGGGCGGCCGAGCCCTGCGCTCTAGGGCAGCTGCATGTAACTCGTATGCTTATTCTCCGTTTGCTTTAAAGGTGCTTGGTATAACTTTAGATATATAATATACATGTAATATTGCTAATAGTCAAGCATAAGAATAAAGGTGCAGACATACCATAAATACTGATGCTTCGATTTTTTTTTTTTTAATACTACCAGACCTAGATGAATGCAGTTTCCTATTCACATTATAAAGCAGCCCCAAGTTCTATAATTTAAAATAGTGTCGTAAACAAAGAGGAAGGAAGGAGTTGGTAATGATCTGATTTTGCTCAATCCGTTTTCCTTGGAAAAGAAAAAATAATAATAATAATAAAAAAAGATCAAAAAATTCTAAGGCACTCAGGAAAGCCGCATACAATCGATGGACTGCTCTGTTCTCGCTTTACATTCAGTATTTTATAGGGGTTATTTTTTTTTTTTTCTCGGAAGAATACAATCATTATCCACATAACATCTTCAAACATATCATTAATCCTCCACACACAGGAAACATTAGTGCAAAATGCTTGCCCTCATCTACCAGATAAGGAAAAACCCAACGCCCTTCACATTTTAGAAGTTTGCCTTCCTAATAATAATAACAATTAAGATAACAAACAAACCCAAATAAAAAAAAAGAAAAAAAGAAGGAAAGAAAGAAAAAAACAAGGAAAAAAAAAAACCAAACTAGACAGGAAGTTGTGCTAGGTATAAAAATATATTTTTTCACTGTGCAACTCGACTCTCTTCAGACTCTGCCCTAAGCCGCTCCGCGTCATTCAAGTACTGCTGCCACCGCCGCCCCGTCCCCCCCGGCCGCAGGGACGGCCCTGGGGGGGGTTTGGTCCAGCACCCGTCCCGAGCCCTCCCGAGCGCCCCGGAGGAGGAGGAGGAGGAGGAGGAAGGTCCTGCTGGGCTCCATCACCCACCTTAGAGGCTCTCGCGGCCCCCGGCTCGGTGGCCAAACCCTCGGGGAGCCCTTGGGGGGTCCCCGCCAGGCGGGGGGTCCCCTCGCTGCCCCCAGGCCCCCGCACATGGCGGGCAGCACCCGAGCTTGGCTGGCGCACGTGGGTAAAGTGCAAGTGTCGCCCGCGGGCGCCGCGGCCCCGGCCCCCCTTGCATAGGTCTGCGGTGCCACCCCGGGGCTCGGCCCTCACCAGGTGCCGCCGGCTTCAAGTATCGGAGACAACAAAACAAATGGCCAGAAGTCGGGGCCGTCTCTCGCCCCTTCCCTCCCCACACACACTTTACATTTTTTTTTCCTTAAATTTAAATACAAAGAAGGAAGAAAACCCTGAGCAAAGCGCCGAACTCGGGAACTGGGAGAGGGGGAACAAAACCAACGGAAGGGAGCCCCAAAGGGACCGGCCACGGTCCCCCCGAGCAGCTCTGTGCACTTTGCGCTTGTTCATAGCTCCAAACCTCCCAACGAACACACCACCAGTGTCTTTAAAGCAGGCATTCTCGTCACAGTCAAAGTAATAATTGAATTAACAACAACCGAAAACTCAAGCCACGTTTGGCTTTCCCGGGCTCCAGCCTCGCAAACCTCGCAAACGCACCCGAAAAACGGCCCTGGGAGCAGCAGCACCCCGTTCCGGCCCCGGGTCCATCCTTCCCATCGGCTTCCCCACGGGATGTTCCCCGGCGGGAGGACRAGCGCCCCAGGGCTTCCTCCTCCCGAAACGCCCCCCAGGAGGGCAGCACGCTGCAACCCACGGGAGCCGCGGCCGGCGATGCCCGAGGCGGCTCCACGCACGATCCCGGCTCCCGAGGAAGCCCCCGGGCTCCAGGGAACCCAAGGCAAAACYCGACACTATCCTCAATGGAGAGCCCACGGCTCCAGCCTCCCACTGGAGGCTCCTGCCTCGCTCCGGGCCTCCCACCTTCCAACAGAAGCATCCTAGGAGTTTCCCAGCACCCTCGGGCACCCGGCTGGAGCCCTCGGGACGCCCGTGGCCTTCCCGGCTGCCACGGAGCCCCCTGCGCTGGAGGAACAGGCCAAGGAGGGCTTCACTGCTGAGCGGAGCAATGGATGGGGTGGTGATGATGGGGGGGCGGGGGGGTGGCTAGCTTCTCTCCTCCCCTTCTGAAAAAAAGGAAAAGAAAAAAGAAAAAGAGAAAAGGAAAAAAGAAAAAGAAAAAAGGAAAAAGCTACAATCTTATAGACTAACCTCAGGAATATCAAAAAAGGAGCCCAATATTTCTTTTTTTTCTTTTTTTTTTTTTTTTTTTTCTTTTTTTTTTTTTAAGTAGGTCGCCACAGACCTAGTCGTTTACAGTATAACGAATGCGATTATTTCCTTCATAAATTTTAAATACAAGCAGAATAAAAATCACATTTTTTTCAGGCAACAGTAGCAGTTCAGTAGGTAAGTGGCTTGATCACATTTTTTTTTGTTTGTTTGTTTTGTATTAGTAACGCATGCAAGCAGCTTTAGTATTACAGATCCCTTATAGGTCGCAAACCATGAGCTCTCTCTATAAAGTCCCTCCGTAAGTACCATCCTGTCTTCTCACGGGAGTTTCTGGCCGGCTAGCGGAGCCCGAGCCCTGCTCGAAAGGTTGTGGAGTGCTTTGGGTATCCGATGCCAGCGCCTCCGTGGCAGCTGCCTCCTGTATAACGGAGCCAGCGCCTTCGGCATCCTCGCTCTGTTCAAAGGACGGGTTGGAGCCGTTGCTTAGATCTACGTTTACCGTGTTAGTTCTCAGGGCTACTATAGTCCCCGCCTCGCTCCTCCGCTCTGCATAGATGCGCTGCTCGAAGACCTGAGCGGTGTTGGGCTGGAACTCGGCGTCCAGGGGGACACTGTTTGTGCTGGAGCCCATCACYGTGCGGTACATCTCCATCCCTTCGGGCAGCATGGACTTGATCTTCGGGAGCCAGCGCTTGCGGACGCGGCGCGCGTTGGTGCACATATCGGCTGCTATCACATTCATCTCGCTTTCCTTAAAGCTCGGGGCAAAATTCTGACAATACACTGCAACGACAGGGATAATCACAACTGAGGACCCGGAGAAAGCAATAGGGGGAAGGCCGGGCGCTCGTAGCCTTCGTGCCATCCTACTAACAAGCTGCCACCCATCCTGCATGCGGGTGCCATCAAGCACAGGGTCTCTAGCACGGTGGAGCTCCCTCATAAACAGATCTAGGGAAACGGTGTCCGCCAGGAGCTGGATATTGCACCYCAAGGATCAACCCTGCCTGGTCCAGATGACACCCTGCACGTCTCCTTGTATTGGCCACTGCAGAGCTAGACATCACAGACCTCCATCCCAGCCCAGCAAAGCCTCTGTTGACTGGGGGTCAAACACTCACAGCTAGTTATCACCTACAGTGCATCTGCAGGATATTGCTCTGCAAAATCCACGGTGAGCATCACCTGGCGCCCTGGAATATGACTGTGTCAGCCTTGGACAAGGAAGCCTACGTCCTACGGGAACAGGGGAGGATGATGAGCATCTTCCACAACTCAACACGAGCCAGGGCTAGTGGCCCCTCCTGGCCACCAASAGGCCCCTTTAACACACTCCTCGTGTTCCAAAGAGCGCCTGCAATAGTCAAGTATTTACCCATTTGCTTTCTTGTGCCTGATACAGCAACTAGTTATCATCATGGAAGTAACAGAATGCTCTTCATAGACACACTCATCATCGTGCACAGATTTCCAAAATGAAGGGTCAGCCATCACCTGGTCCTACACTTCCCCAGCCTTGCTAAATTTAAGAGCCATGTAATCATTAGCAACCGAAACCCACCAGGAGTCTTACCCACAGGACAGCAGGAGGGCTGCTGGGTTTAAACCAGCTCAGTCTGGCAAAGCATCAGCCCTAAAGCAGAGCTCAAGTGCTCTGGGATCAGAGCCTAGATGAGCCTCTCAGAAGCTGAACTTTGTGCAGAGCTCAAATGAGAAATGCAAAGATGCTCTGGCTTTTTAAGGTATCTCCAATATGCAAAATTACTTGCAGCAAGGCTCCCGTTTTACCTATTAAAAAGTTGATAAAACATATTCAAGGAAACGGACTTGAAAGCTAGCAGAAACRATGGCAAGATCCCAAGAGCTCAAGTTTGAAGCAGTCAGGAAAACGCTTGGTTCTCAGAGGCCCATTTACTATTTAAGAGCAAGGAAAGCCCTGGGCACCTCGGGGACGCCAGAGCAGCAAGAGGTGCCCAGAGGACATGGATGCCCGGAGGACACGGCTGGGATGTGGGTTGGAGCCGCACGCCCCGCTCGTGTCAATGGGTGCCGGGGGTTCGGAGCCGGYGCTGGCGGCATTCCCGCATCCCGGTCTGGCCGCCCAAAGCCCTGCTTACGTTTCACGGCGTTGAGGACCCTGCTGTCCAGCGGCTTCCGGCTGGGATCGCTTGTGGACGACCGGATCCCGGTGCCGCAGCTGTTGGCGAGCGTGTTCCTGCAAGAAAGGCATGGGAAGAGCCTGACGCCGGGGACAGCCACCATCCCAACCCAGCCAGGGGACACCGTCCTCCTCTCCTTAGTTTCTTACGGGGGAATCACCAATTTATGTGCCCATTTACAAAAAAGTAGAGATATAAGCACAGCGAATGTGCAGGATGCAATGTTCACAGAAACACTGTGCAGTAACAGCCTGAAAACAGCTGCAAATGGAGCGCCCCGAGACATTGTACRCGGCAAGGCGACCTACCGATCAAAGAAGGTGGCCAGCAGACGTCTCAGGAGAACCTTGTGCTTCACCCCCGCGCACAGGTGGCAATTCATCAGCTGTCCCCGAGTGATGTAAACACCCGAACCTGCGTGGGGCCAAGGTGCAGAAGGCGGCGTTAAATCCCCGATGACCCACGAACAGGCTCCTCCTGCTTCGCTGCCTCGTCTCGCTGTGAGGTTCGGCACCTCTTTGGGGCTAAAAAAGCCCCAAAAGGCCAATGGGATTTGTGGAGAGGCCCCATGAGTGCTGCTGTTCCAACCCCGCAGGGTCCTGGCAAGCCCCAGGCACCAATAAACCCCTAATTTTACCCATATAGCACAGATGTCTACGGAATTCAGATGAAAGGGTTGGTTTTTATAAAGGCGAGCAGCACAAGGCTCTCTTCTATGATTTCATATACACATATCAGATTATTTGTTCTTTCTGAAAGTCCCAATCCACTTGTCCTTTTCTTAAGTGAAAGACTGTAGATCTTACAACTAAAAGGAAAGAAAAGCCCTGCCTACCCCAGAAAAGGTACCTATTGATGCTACAGATCTAACCGCTTCCAAAAATCCTGCCCTGTAACCTCTTGATACTTCTGTTGGGCTGGGAATTTTGCTTCTATTGCATAGGAAGTGCTGACTTTGAAATATATTGGCTTTAAGGATGTTCTTGGGAAGAAAAACGAGTCCTGCCAAAGCAGCTGGGTGTGTCTGGAGGTTGGGAAGTGGATCCTCAGTGCTATATAGCAGGTTTCTTATCCTTTCCTTACCAAACACTTCTACTTCGCACACAGCTTACAAAAACAAACCACTCTTATGCCTCTGAATCTGCTTGCACGGGAGGTTATTCCATTTTTATAGTGCACCGTTGCAGGAGAGTTGTAAGGGGTTTTGATGTTTGCTTTTAATTAAGATTAAATACTGGGTCATATCTGCATGCAGAGCACTCTGTCTTGAAGATTAAAAAAAAAAAAAAGAAAGAAAAAATCTATTGGAGGAAAAAATCACCTGCCGAATTTCCAGGAAAGCCTACGGCTCGTCCTTCTTGAGCTTGAGGATAATGGGATTGCTCAAGAACATTTAGGGGCTAGTGGGGGGATGATGGCAACAAGAGCCCCCTTGGCTTGGGGGTGTCACCGGGTCCGGGTTCCACTCGGTGACCATAAAGTCCCTCGGGCCAAAGGTGGGTGCCGCTCCGGATCACAGAGCCCCCCTTAGCACCATGCCCTGCTCCATCCATCCATCCCTCCCTCCCTCCCTCCCACTCCCAGGACCATTTCAAGGCTCATTTCAGCCCTTCCTAAACGAAGCTGATGCAGTTTGCATCCGGAGATGCATTCCAGAGAATCCGGAATATGAAGTTTAGGGGACTTTCATGGAAAGCAGCTTCTCCCATCAATGCAGGGTCCAACCGCGTCACGTCCAACACGGTCATTAGCAACCGAGCCTTTATTCAGCAGCACTTTTTAGGAGAGAGGCATCAGCAAGAGCCAGGCGCCACTTTAATAAATAAAGAATAACCCGGGCAGCCACTATCAGTTAGAGATATTAATCTAGTTCTTTTTTTTTTTCCAGATTGAAAAATGTAAATCAAGCAGAGCTGCCTCAAGCCAATTTGCAGCTCGCGCTGTGAAAATAACCCACACCACTTGATGTTTTTGAAGAAGTCTCACATAAAATGTAAATGGGTTGAAAATGAATATTCCAGATAAAATAAATACTCGTGCCTTTCTGCTGTGTTGCTGTGCGTGMGTTTTATTTCTACCTTCCATTGAAGAAAGCTCTCCTTGATCACACAGAAACCTCTCCAGGTTATTTCTTGAAATTAAGAGTCTTTCTAGAGACTGCACGGAAAACCCATGCTGCTCAACGAGAGATAAATGACCAGAAAGGAAAGGACAACAGATCCAGGCTGATGGTGTCACCACTTGTCCTTCCCACATCAATTGTAAATTCAATCCCCAAATGGAAAAAAAATACCTTTCCTAGAGGAAAGGACCAATCCAAACTGACTCCTTCTTTGCCTTCCTAAAGGAAGGAAAATTTTCAGTTTAATAATTTTTAGAAAACTTTTAAAGCTTTTCCGAAGCTTCTTCACTGACACTAATTTTATAGCCACTGGCAGGTGAATCTTATAATATGAGACCTTTTTTTTTTTTTTTTTTTTTTAATCTGGGCATCTAAATCACAACACAATTGTGATGCTGCCCACACCAATCGGGAAGAATACAAGCTGAGGAATTCAATTAAAATGCTAAATTAATTCAATTGAATAAATCCTGTTAATGACATGTTTTTCTATCAGCAAATTAAAGGAAATTTAAGATTTTTTTTTTATATATAAGATAATTAGCGATGAATAATACAAAATGACATTGCAAGGGCATACAATATGTACGACTGTGACAACGATGCTYGCAAGAGGAAGGACACGTTTGGAGAAGGAGAATATCAGTCCCCCCCAGTCATCCTCAAGCAAAGAGCAAGTTAACCCGTTAGTACCTGCGACGAGCTCTAGTTTTTCCCCAGGGTCTCCCTCTGAGTAGAGTTTGGGGTGACAGCGGTATCCGATTTGACTGATGAGACTGGCCGGCAGCGCGACCAGGTCCCGCCTGATGAGGACGCAGGAACGATTCTCCAGCGGGATCTGCTCTGGCTTTTCTTGAGCAACTTGAGAAAAACAAAAAAAAAAAAGAAAAAAAAAGACAAAACCCCATTAAAAAAGGTTATCATGCAACAGCAGATCGTATTTTGAGCCTGCCGCGCCGCTCCGGGAACGCGCGGAGCCCGGATGCCCGGCCGGCCGGGACGTCGCCCTGGGCCCTCAGCGCCTTTCTTGCCCTGCTCGCCTTCGTGCTCCCACTCGGCAAGGGGGACGAGGCGACCCTAATCACGCTTCAGCTTTTCCCAATTGTACCATTTTTGAAAATGGGCAGCTCTGCACATCGGACTTTGTCTGTGGAGCAGAACTAATCTCCTCCAAACRTCTGAAGAGGCATCGAACTTACTCAACTTTGAGCAATAAACTAGCAAGATTTGATAAATATCCACTTTAATATCACAGCAACTCCAATTCCTGACTTTTTTTTTCCTGCTGAAGCTACAATTCAGTTTTGCAGATAAATGCTACAGYCAGAAAAGTCAACAGGGGCAACTCGCTATCCACCGGTCACCTCCTCCGAGCTGCACTGTGTCTCCCGAAAAGCCTCCCCTTAATTGACGCCTTTCCGAGGCTGGCATTTTGTCTCAATAACAAGAAATATCCCGACCAACCGACCAAAAAATTTCATTAAGCTGYGGCCTCCAAACCGAATTACACCGAGCTACGAGGACCCAGCTGTGATTTCACTTAAAACATTCCCTTACATCCCATTAATGGGACCTGCCACTGCCTATTAGCCAGCGGTCACGTTGAAGAGCTAAAACAACCGGGTTTTACTCCTAGCGCTGCACAATCGGGGGTTACGTGAGCGTACCGAGGATTAGCTTTCTAAAGCACGTTTACAGCACAAGTCCACAGGCAGGCTTAAAATTACAGATCACAGCAAAACAGGCCTGAGCCAGGTGTGTACCGAGTCCGTTGCACTGGTGCATGTTGTGCAGCTCCCAAATTGCACCCCAACTGTATAATGATCTTTTTGTTTTTTCCCTCCAAGAAGGTCTGATATTGTGGTAAGTGCTACGTGTGAAATCAAATCTGGCTCGGTGCCTCACTCTGTATGACTASAGAGATAGGAAAACAAATAAAAAACCCCCAGCAATTAGTGCTTCTGAATTTGAAATGTATCCTATTTAAAAGGTGTCTTTTACYGTGGTTATTCTGATAATCTGGAGGCCTTTATTTTTTTTTTCTCTCTCTCTCTTCAATTGCCTCGATAAAATAACAAGTTTTGCAAACTTGTTGCTGCAGTAACCGAGCGGAAATGCCTCTTCCACAAAGGGATTAGTGTTCTAACTAGGACATGCCCTGCAATATTGCATTGTTGGGCCCCTCCGCGTTGCAAGGCACAAGGCTGGAAACATCCCGGCGCTCCCCGCGCCCCTCCTGCCCTCCAAGGCTGGAGCTGCTCTGCGCGCTGAGTCTGCAGCGGGGCACGGAGCTGCTTAAAGCAAACGGGGCTGGAAAAGCACCGTGGCTCGGGACGCCTCTTCCCTRGGAAAAGCGCACAGAGCTGGCGGATGCATTGGCGTGGTCCTGGATTGGCAGGGAGCAGCGGTGACAGAGCAGCCTGCATGATGTTTTAGAAGTAATTTCTCTCGCCCTCGTAGCCCGGGTATCTCTGCAAAGTGGGAGCGCCTTGTAGTGCTCCTAGAGCCCCATTTCCACACACGATTTTTCACCAACTGAAATATCTCCCCATTTAATAGCTCTTCCAGGAGGTGCTTCCACGCACACAGATCTCCGTGTTTGGGAACCTTGCGCTCACACAGCCAAGGCACCTGGAAGACCCCCTTATGTTACTAATGTTTTCCACCTTAACCTCATCAAAAGCAGAGGGGCACTCAAAARGGTATTAAAACCCTTTAATACCAGCACAAAAAAGACCAAACAACAGCCTATTCCACTCTCAGTTTTGGCAAAACACTCTCACCAAAGCAGGTTACCAGGGWGCCAAGGACATCACAAAATCAATGCAAGCCTTGAGTGGGAAGAAGCAGCAGGAGCTACTGGAGGACACCTCATAAAGCRTCCATTTGGGGTCCTCCTCCACCTTCTTATCAGTTAGATACAGACTGAAAAGTCAGAATGACACAGGCTGGGCACAACTGCTTGCTCATCATCAGCCACAGACACCAGGTTGGGATGTCCAAAGTCTTCAACGGAGGAGAAGGTCAATCCACRCTACCGGGGCACCCAGGCGCCAGCATCTGGCACCTCGTCCTGCTCTAAACGCCCATTTCCGAGTCAAGAGGTGACGGGCAGAGGTTGAGATTAGGCTGTAATTACTTCCTACGGCCCGGGCTAATTGCAGGCAAGCTTGGCAGGGGAACGAGACTGCTCATCAGCAGGGCAGATCTTCAGCTGTTAGGAGAGGATTAGGGGGTGAGCACACAGGCGAGTTATTGCAAAGCTCTCCGCTTATTCCCTCTTGGAAGGTGGGAAGGTTGTACGTCTCCAGGGAACGCCCCATTGAGCAGTAGAAATCACTACACCAACAGATCCTCATCATGGTAAAAGGACAGGCGGTGGGTCCACGCTGCTCCTTATCCAATATTTATATATTCTGAGACCAAAAGGGAGATTAGTCACTGCTCTGATCACACAGACGTCTCTTCAGGTGGCTTTGCTGGATAAAAAGCAGCATCCAAAGGAGGCAAAGCCAAGGCAGACCCCACACAGACTCGGTAAGAGCTGCGTTATCCTTCACACTTGTAAAGAGTTTCCCAGCTTTAGGTGTCAGGGCACTTTGCAAACCAGCTAAGCACCACGGAGCTCAAGAGGCTGAGGGACATTTTCTAGTCCAAAACTGCAGACTTAGCACTGAGGTTCAGCTGGGCCTGCCTCAGCCCTCAGCCACGTCCACATCCCATCCACTTCTACATCAAAATGACTGCAACCAAAGAAATTAAACATTCACAGCACCCAACCAGCCACGGCCACGAGACAAGGACAGATCCYGCTGCTTTGCCGCTCGGCAAGATAAGCGCTCAATAAAGCCCAGATCTGGGGCCAAACAGATCCCGATGCAGCAATAATGAAGCCTGCAAGAGAAAGAGCAGAACAACTACGGATTTAAAGCTAACTTCCTAGGGAAATTTCAAAGAACGTGGTGTCAAGCCCGTTTCCTGAAAGCAAAGCAGCTTTCCAGGAAAACAACACTAATGTCCTGGACCCYGCATTGAGAAAAGCCAGGGACAACTCCACCTGGAAAAGATTTTGTGCTTTCGAAGACATGTCTTTTTGTATGTGTTGACCCATAGAGAAAACAGCATTGATCTCCGAAGCCAAATGTTTCACAAGACGAGCTAAAACTCATGCTAAAAAAGACCAAGCCCGATTGAATCCACTACTCTATTTCAGTTACCGCCCTCCGAGTGACCTTGCAGTCTATAAATCTGTCATTAAACATGGGCACGAATCCTTTTTGGAGCTGGTTTCGATGAAAGCACCGGTAGCAAACGCAACGATACTGCACAAAACCGAGCAGAGCTTTGGGCCTTCCCAGGCAGCTCCACAGCCGTCAATCGCTGCACAGGGGCCGGTTACGTAAAGCAGCAGCAAAGAGACACTCTGCTCCCATGTTTTCAGAGAAAGCAACTCTGTTTGGCCTTTATGCTCTACAGAACGGGATAGTATTCGCTTCTAATTAATGTGCATCTTCGGAGGGCAGCAGCTCCTTTGCTTTGAACGCGAGGGCCCACAATGGGCAGCATTGTTTAATGCAGTTTTGTTCCCGACGAAGAAAGGAGCCTACCAGCTACCGGAGAGACAGGCAGGAAATCATTAAAAAGCCAGCTAAGATAGCTACCAGTCAAACACTGATTTTTTTTATTTATTCAAGGATCTGCTTTGATCTCAAACTCCCAGGGACGCTGCAGCTTGCAGCAGTTGCTTTGCAATGGGCAAGACCCCAGGCCGCAGGCTACCAAGGCCATGGCCATGAGACTCACCTTGCCTGGCTCTCCTTCAACACCTCCTCACTGTCAGATTTCAGCACGCTGCAGTAGGGGAGGAAAGAGCGGTTTGGGTTCAGAGAGGGAAAACAGAACTCAGGAGGGACTGACCCACAGCACAAATACATTTTTGTAGGACCACACCATGAACCAAGAAGTCACCAGGCACTCTTAGGACACCAAGAGCATCCCTACTTGACCCACTACTGGCCATGCCACCAGCAGTTTAGCTCCTACGTCAACATTTYGACATTTCTATGCCATCCACCTATTTTCCCTCTGAGGGAGCTGCACGGGATGAGCATCCGGAGCCGGGAGYGCGGACCGCACACGACCCGCACGCACACGCCGCCGCCCAGCCCCGGCGGGGACCGTTTACATTGTACAGATAGCACGTTTACAACAACGTACCGAAACGCAGAGATTTGATTTGTGACCTATTTATACACGGAGGTAATCTGGAATTAGTACAGGAAAAATATTACTGGTTTATAAATACCCCTATCTTGCCTTTGCTTCAGATCTCAGCCAGGAGCGAAACATCTGCCAGTCTAAAATTAAACATCTGTGTTTCACTGCGAGGAAAGAGGGACGAGGCGTTTTAATGCCAAAAAAGGCCAGGCGCGGGTGACACCAGTGCAGGGCCCGGGCATCACCTGCGGCCACCGCTGGAGACCGGRTCCACCAAGGAAACCCGCTCCGGATGGTGCCCACGCACATCGGACCAAACCGACACTTAATTTGCTAAAAAAAAGGACTAATTCTTAGTCGTGTGTGTTGTCTGCAAGCCCAGCCGCCGGCGCAGCCGCGGGAGCAGCGGAGCGCTGCTGCAGCGGGAGCAGCCACGTGTCACGGAGGCAAGGACACAGCTCCGAGAGGCTGCTGGGGACGTCACTGCCCGTCCCGAGCGAGGTCCCCGGGCGCTGCCAGCGCTGTCGCGACTCCGGTGCCTCCCTGTCCCGCTGCTTCCCGCCAGGAATCGGCAGCCGGCAGAGAAAACTCTTCTCGCAACTAATTACCACCACTCCTCTGTAATGGCTATTTTAGATGAATTTTTAATGGCGCGTGCTCTTGACACTTCGGTATTTCATAACTTTCAGGTCCAATCTTTCTCCACCAGCTATTTGCTGCAGAAAGGGTGTTTTTTTCCCCCCCTCTTTTCCCTCCTCTTCCTGGGAACCATCGCGCCGCCGGCATGGAGGAAGCCGCGTCTTGTGCAACTTCACTTGTGCCTGTCAAAATTAAATTAAACGCATCTGCTAAGCGGCGAGCTGCCGCCGAGCACCCGGGAGCGCCTCCGAAACCCGCTGCAATCCCGAGCACACGGAGCCACATTCCCAAAAGGCAGACGGGCAGCAAAGCCTTGGATCCCTGCAAGCCTCGGCCGAGCTCGCTCATGCCAAGCAGGTGCCTCCGAGCTAGACCCAGCTCCAGCCCTTCGGCAGCCTTTGGATCTTATTTTATCTATTTATTTTTCCTCCCGGAAGGGTTTATAAAACACAAAATTAAAGGAAGCTCCGTGGCCTGCTGGAAACTCCTCCGGGACCTGCTCCGCATCCTGCTAGGGCATCGGGGCGGGTGTCCTGCTCTGTGCCCTGGACACAGGGACCGGAGCAACTGCCTATGGCCCAGGAGGGAGAAGGAGAAAAATACAGTAAAAAAAAAGAAAAAACAAGAAGAAAAAAGAGCACTCCCCCTCCCTGGAGCCGGCGCCGGCGCCGCTCCGCGCTTTGTTTTTGTTTTCRCGAGCGGGGCTCTTGGAAACCTTGGCAATCACTATTTTAACTGCTTCCCCCCCCGGCTTTTGTCCGCCCTGCGATGGCCCCACGTGCCAGCGGCGGGATTAGCTCCTTCCCTCTGCCATCTTACGCCTCTATTATTCTGCACCTTCCGAGGGTACAGTTTATCCCCACTAATTAAAGCACGGTTAGCTGTGCAAGCCCAAGCTGTCATGGAATAGCTTTGGTTTTGCCTTTTTTTTTTTTTTTGGTCAAAAATTCTCTTTTTGCACATGTGTGCACCCTGCTTCCCTGGAAGGCTCGGGCTCCAGCTGGGTTATTCCAAGCTGGACGCTGCCCTGTCCCAAAGGGGAGGCGCAGGAAGGGCCACAGGGCAGSATGGGGACGAAGGGAGCGCGGCTTTGGGGATACTCGGAGGGAGGCAAAGCGGCGCTTCAGCAAGCGGGAGGCCARTATTTGCAGGAATTAGGCTAACAAGGATGAGTGAAACGAGCAGCACCATCCCCAACCACTGCTTGGCAAGGGACACGAGCAGGGGGACACGGTGGCTCTGCTGTGAAAGCCACACATGGCAAAGAGGCCCCCAAAGTGCTTCCCCTGGTGACATGCCAGAGGGACAAGCACAGTGGTGTTAACACAGAGGGAGCAGGCACTTTTTGCAGATGTTCCTAAATGGAACCTTCTATGGAAATGATTTGATGATATTCGGAGGRGGAGAGAGAAACATACATAGATAGGTTGGGTTTTTTTCCTTTAAAAAGGTTAGGAAAAAGGGAAAAGTGACCACTCGGGACATGGTGGCCTGGGATGGGGTTTTGCCACCTCTGGAGGAATCTCCAGTTGGGGAAGGGGTGCGCGAGCAGTGGCACAAGGGCCACGGGCTGGATGCAACCGTGGCCACCAGCACCCAGCTGGCATCATGCAACCCTCAGAGCACCCAACCATGCGGAGCCACCAAAGAGCATCCCAGGAAACCCAAACGCCACGAACTGCCCCAAACCCACGCAGCTGGGCGAGGAAACACCAAGCAAAACCCCCGGGAGGGCAGAGAGGCCAAGGGGGAGGGCGCACGGGCGCGTTACCRGAGTATTCCCCTGAGGACTTGATGTACATCTGCCCGTACTGCTCCTCCACCATGGTGTCGTAGGCCTCGTCGTCCTCGTCGTCCTCCTCGTTGTGGTAGGACGTGGGGCTGTCGGTGGTGGGCAGGCTGCTGGCGCCGGGGCTCGTGCGCTCGCCCTGCGAGTAGGCGACCTGCGGCACGGCGGGCAGCAGGGTGGCCAGGTTGGGCACGCCGTAGTAGGAGACGCGCGAGAGCTTGAGGGCGCCGGCGGCGGGGCCGGCCGCGTTGGCGGCCTCGCGGGCACCGGCCTCGAGCGGCCGCTTGCCCGGCAGCCCGGCGGCCGCCTGCAGCTCGAGGCTCTCGTGCTTGACRCGGGCGAGCAGCGGGATGGGCACGGAGGGTGCGACGCCGTAGGGAGCCGCGGCGGGCGGCAGCGGCGCGCACGGGCTCTGCGGCTCCGAGCCGGGCTCCTCCATGGTGGCCGTCTGCGAGTCGCAGTGCGGCGAGCTCACTTTGAACATGAGGTCCGTGCCCTTCTCCACGATGTGCTGGATCTGCAGGAAGCCGGCCGTGTACATGACCACGAGCTGCTCGCTGGCCGCCATGGTGAGCTTGCCCGTGTAGCAGAAGGAGAGGATCTGCTGGAAACAGGCGGGCGGCACCGTGCCCGGCAGCTCGAACGCATTCTTGCTGTTGCCGCTGAAGAGGTCGCGGAAATAGAGGCTGCTGGCGGCCAGCACGGCCCGGTGCGCCTTGAACGCCTGGCCCTTCACCACGATGGAGACGTCGCAGTAGAGCCCCAGCAGCCGCTGCTCGTTGAGGCAGCCCAGGACGGTGTTCCCGAAGTTGGGGATCTCTATGTGCAGCAGCTGCGACATGGCTCGCGCACGCCGGGGGCTCCTCACGCATTCAACGCAGGCAGAGCCGGAGGAGGGCACATCTGCAAGGCGGAGAGGGCAGGGAGAGAGCAAGAGCATTTTTTAAGCAAGCCACGGAAACACATGGGGGTGAAACGGGGCGCGCGCGAGCGGGGACAGCGGTGGCCGGGCCCGCCGGCCGAGGCAGGACAGCGGCTGCTTATGAAATTAGTTATCGATGTTCCTAAACAACGGGGTGGCGGGGGGAAAAACGCCATCGGTGGAGGGCAAAGGGCATTTCAAAATTCAAATATTTTCTTAAAGTTGTGGTTTGTTTAAATAAACCTCGCTGATTTATTCCCCCCAGGTTTACTTTCAGCAGGAAAACGCGAGCGGGGACGGCAAGGCACGCGCGCGGCAGCCGCCAGGATTATATAAGGGACGGCGCAGCCCCGGCGCAACTGCAGAAGAGGCATCTGTATAAAGCAACGTGCTGCCCTGCCCGAAATAAACACCGAATTGTGCCTAAGCYCCTGCAAAARGGCTCATTTTTTTGGYTAGGAAACCTGCATGGGGGCACAATAGGAGGCAGCGCTGCAAGAGTTAAACCCCCTCTGCACTGAGATGCTCCGAGTTGAGCCAGACGCCCCTGGATGCGCTGCTTTAGGGTGCCAAGTGACTCCCCCCGCACCGAGCAGGGCCGTGTTGGGGCCGGGGGAGGCGCAGCCCCGCGCTGCAGCGTCCCCCCCTCCCAAAGACACCGCGCTCGCCGCTGTCGCATCGGGTCACAATGCCCGGACGCGCTAAGGGCGCGCGCACCTCGCCGCCCCGAGCACCGGCGCCGCTTCTGCGCGACCCCCAGCCACCAAAACACAGAATAAGGGTAAATGAATGAAAACGCTGGCTCTGAAGCAGAGCGGTGGCAGCGATGCTGAGCGGCCGGGCGCTCACGCGGGTGCATCGGGCGCGCGCGGACTCCGGCGAGGCAAATCCCGGCGCTGCACCAGGACAAGCCGCAGCCAAAGCCCCGGCCCCGCCGCGCCRAGAGCCCCGCACCGCAAACCCGGGAGCCTTCCCGTCTCCTGCGGCTGCAGCGCAACTGAATAAAAACTCGTTCTTAAAGCAGCACCGAGCGCTCATCGCAATGGCACAGGAAAGAAGTTTATCTGAGGATGATTAGGGGAAGAAAAAAAGCTCCTCTGGAAGGAAAATAAGCCACAAAGAGCTGCTCTGTTCCCAGGGCTGGGGGAAAGGAAAAAAAAAAAAAGTCCTATCTGCAAGGCCATGGGCTAGGAGGAAGCAAAGCGAGCRCTGCCGCTGCCTGCTGGAGGAGGAGGGAAAGAAAAAAAAGAGAGAAAAAGGGAAAATGTTCCGCGGGCGCGAGAAGTTGAGGGCCCCGCGGCCGGGGCGGACGTACCTCGAGCGCGGGCGCCGCAGAGCCCGCCGCAGGACGCCCGCGGCCGCCRCAGCGCCGCGAGCCGGGGAGGAAGGAACAGAGAAAAAAAAAGGAGAAAAAAAAAAAAGAAAGAAAGGAAAAAAAAAAAAAAGTATGAAGCCCCGCGTTTGTATCTGCTGTAGCTCAAGCTTTTACCAAGTCAAATCTCCCCGGCGGTGCATAGCATCTAAATGAATAGGCCGGATGCAGATTAACATTCAGGCTGCTCGCGGCAATGAATAGAGCCCTTTGATTAGGGACCTGAAGTAAATGCCAGTTTTGGAGCGAAGCTTTAAAAACAGAGGAATATCAGTGCCAGAGGAATGCTCCCAGTGTTGGTACAAGACAGACTTTTGATGAGTCACTGCAATGCAAACAAAGATGGCAGAAATACTGTACTGTGCGCGGCCCGAGCGCTTCGGGGAGCCACGGCAACTGCGACAGCTTTTAAATTTATCGCCCGCTTTTTGCATATGAATGACGCCGTGCAGCGGCCGCCCCTGCCGGCCCGGTGTCCAAGCATCCCAACTATTCGGAGCGGGTCGGGAAGTCGGCACGGCACCGATCCCCCCCACCGCCGCCAGCCTGGCTCCTCAGGGACCGGGCTGCCCCTGCCACCCCCCATAGAGCCTCTCCAACACCTTGGAAAGGGGCRAAATAAATAAATAAATAGAGAGAGAGATGAGTGTTTACCCCGTGGGGAACAGCTTCTCGCAGGCGGTGGCTCAATGCACTAAAAGCAAATGCATTTGCTTAAGCACCGCGATCGCCGGCACGGCGGCTCCTGGCTATTCGGGGGCTGCTGGCGGCGGCGGGGCCTTGCTCGGCTCTGCTCTTGCCCAGAAGCTTCTTATTTATTTCCACGTGGGGCCTGGGAGCTGCCCCCGCTCCCTGAGCCTCTGTCTTGACTCTCCTGCTCATACGTTGGGTGCATTAAGCCGGACGCCGCAGGACGCGGTGCAGGGGCTGGACGCACGTCGGTTCCTGTCTGGAATGCCAGGATCCCGGGGCCGGTTGGGAACGTTTGGCCCAGCACGAGGAGGAGAAGGAGGAGGAGGAGGAGGAGGAGGCTTCTCTCTCCAGCTTAGGAGGGAGCTGGGCTCCGAAGGCATTTCTGTAGGAGGCTGGAGATGGCAACGTGAGAGCCGAGCCCTCGGCATCGCCAAGCTCCGTCTCCAGAGGAGAGGAGCCCTCTGGGGCAAACAGAGATTTACACCTCATCTTGCCTAAAAATCCCGGGAAAAAACACCCCTATCCTGCACCTTCTGCTCTCCTCCCATCCCTGAAAGCTCCAGATGGGACTTTTCCCTCTTTTGCACAGGGTTTGAGTGGGCAGCGAGGCAGGGGACAGCCCAGGCCTGCCCAGCTCCGCCGTGCCCCACGCAGGAGGGCCCGAGCCCCGTGCCACCCAGTGCCACCCAGTGCCACCTCCGCGGGCGGCTCCGCAGAGCCCGGACCGGCACCACAGAACAGACCAACCTAAAAGAGCCGCGCGCTCCCAATCCTCTCCATAAACAAGGTTGGCCAGGCAGGGCCCGTGGCACCCTGGGGTCTCCTCGCCCAACACGGTGCACGTGGAGCTCGCCATAAGCTCTCCATGAGCATCCCAACGTGCAGCAGCGCTCGGAGAGCCAGGCTGTGCCACGGCGGTCCCATGGAATCCAGCCCTGGAAGAGCATCGCTCCCAGCGCCCCACTCTGCTTCCAATTCCCATGGGTCCCGGTAGCTGCTGCCCACCCACAACTTGTATTTCACTGTGAGACAGCTCCAACCGGGAGCTTTTTGGGAGGAGGAAAGGCCCAATGAAGTACAGGAATGAYGGGAGTGGCCGCAATGCCCAGGATGCCCAAGGAGGTTCTGCTCCGCAAACCCAACCGAGGAACGCAACCAAACCCGCGCTGGGGAGCCCTCCAAAGCACAAGCCCTTCCAGGAAACTCTAAGCCGAGAGCTTTTCTTAAGGCAGCCAAGAGCTCTTCTCTTGTCTTAAGAGCCCAGAAACAAAAAGAAAAAGGCTGAGAGGTAAAATAAGGTAGTCCTGAAAGACAGGGAGAACCTGTTCACCTCCAGACCTCACGCCCTTAAGAACAACAGCAGCACCTCGCTGCCGGCACCAACCCGCGCTACGTCCCCTGCTAAAGGCTCCTCGGCACGTGCTCAGCTCTAACCACAGCACCCAGCTCCTCGGGGGGCTCCCAAGTGGCTTCGGGACCTCGGAGGGGTGGGAAAACCCACCATCCTGCAAGAAAAGTGACCTTGCGCATGCAGGGGGATGTCAGGCTTTGGAAGCCTGTCTTGATCCAGGTGTCCTCATGYCCCAAACCTCCATGTGGCTCCATCCATCCCGCGTGGCTGCCTGGGGGATGCTCAGCCCCAACTCCTCCTGCCCAGCAAAAGCGGGCTAAAAAAATTCAAAATCAGTCAAACAAAGGAAAAGCCTCCACTAATTACGGCAGATATGGAGCAAGGCAAAAAAAGAAATCCTCCTTTTCTCAGATCCTCCTTCTCTTTTCTCAGGAAAGCTGCTCTCCTGAACTTGCAGGCAAATTAGGATAATTCATACATTTATGCAGATTTGGGGGAAAGTCATAGCCTTGGTCACAGCATGCCAGTAAAAAAATTTAGCTAGTATTTGAGACAACTGTCAGAGCATAAGGAGGGTTTGAGAATCTCCAGTTTTTGTGTCCATATGCTTTGGGGAAAAAAAAAGAAAAAAAAAAGAAAAATGTAGCTTTGCTTTTTGCTCCGCTGTTTCTCTGCGCAAACGCGTCAAAGGTCTGGGCTAGACAGCGACAAAGAAGAAAAAAAAGCCATGCATCAGCTTAGGATAAGGCGCTGGCGTCCCGGCTCCCGCGGGAGTAATCAGAAATAATTAGATAATTTATTTAAATTGTCCTTTCCTTAGCCAACACAGAGAAGCTGAGCGACTTGGAGAAAAAAAAATAAAATAAAAGAAGAATAAAGGATAAAAATCAAAGCTGGTCCCTGCTGTAAGTTGGCTGCGTGTGCCAGGTTGGCGCCTGGGGACAAAAGTGGCGGTGGCGGCGCAGGGAGCTTGGCTGCAGCGCCCGGTGCTCGCAGCAAAGCGGCCTGGGAACGGGGGGGACGGGCAGCAGCCCCCCGGGATGGGGGGACATCGGCCCTCTGTGCATCCCAGCGCTGCCGGCGCTGGACCGGGGAGCACTGCGCCCGGCTAAAGGGCTGCAAAGGACACGCAGCGGCGGGGGGGAGGGAAACTCCGCCTGCCAGAATGGGGGAAAAAAGGGAGGAAAAGGACAAAAAAGCAAGCGCAGAGCATCCCCTCTGCATCCCCCGCGCCAGGGTAAAGTCCCAGCAGGGAGGGCAAGGGGACAGGAGGGGATGGCAAGCGCAAGATGCCGCGGATGCCTGCACAGTTTAACACCAGGCTTTGGCAGGAGCAGGCAAACAAGGTTAAGTTTGGTAACCAAATGGCAGCCCCACAAGGGCTCCGTTTTCCTTCTGCAGTGTTTGTTTCCCGGCTCCAAAGTATTTTTTTTTTTTCCTCCCTTAATGCTGCAAGTGGCAAGCAGGGAGCAATGCTGAGACACCCTATTTTTAGTGCAGCAGCCAGTGGCAAGCGCAGAATATCATTAGTCCGGCCTTGCTAAGACACTGAGGACGGAATCTAC